ATGCAGGGAACTCCTCAAAGGCTCCTGTACTAAACATGGTTATACAGGAAGATGGTAGGTATTTGCACAACGGTGCATCATTTGTGGATGGGCAGGGAACTGATGATGATGCTGACGAGAACATCAATGGTGATGACATGACAGAATCTGATGAAGATGATGGTGATACTGTCACGAAAACAGCCCCGTCTAGCCATTTTACTAGAATTTATGATCTCCCTGAAGGGTTTACTGATGCGTGGATGAGTGGATCAGGGAAGAAAAGGTTTACCCCCGATGGTGAGTTTGAGGTCGGTCAACAGTTTGACAACAGTTTGACTTATAAGTCGCCCAACCGTTGGGCGACTTACCCCTGACCGTGGTTAAGGCCCAGCAGTATATTGGTAAATACTTTTTTTCCAGCATTATTTTCGTAATTAATTAATTAATTAACATTAATTAGAAAAAAAAACTCTAGTTTAGGTCAGCAGTATTTTAGTATATAATTTTAACCTAACCCTAATTTTGTAAATAATTTTTTTTCTAACATTATTCGGGAAAAAAACTCAATGTTGAATGGAGGTGTACGAACAAAATTGATAATTTTGTTGTACTTCTCATTTGCCTTATTTCATTACTACGAAGTATTATACTTAGACCACTTTATGTACAAATCATTTGTTCGGTATAATTTTATCGGCAACTAAAATACACCACACAACTTCTTTTATCCCAAAAGTTCTATCTTGTAACCCGGTTACGGTGACAAGGGTAGATAGTAAACTTTTAGAGTTTTAGGAAAACGTAAATTTTACGTGACTTGAAGTGATATCCGGTTCAGCCATATTTCACACCCTTATATTTTACTAGTTTTATCCTCCTGTTCTAACATGACCTCCCTAACAGCGACAGACGAAGAGCGGAAATCGACGAAGATTTTTGGCGAGTTCTGACTGGATGAGTCGCGAGCAGCCTCCCGCGACAACCGACAAGCGACGGACCAATTGGCGAGCGATTCCAGCCACAGACGACGAGCAATGGACCTCAACTTCGGAGATGGTGATTTCTAGCGAGTCTACAATTGCGGACGACAATTTCATTGTAGATATATACATAGTTGTACTGATACGAGCATACACAAATGAAAAGTTGCGCACAGTAGAGATTTAAAATGAGCTTTTTGAATTTTTTGATGCTCATCTCGTAATTTATGTTTGCTCATTTGATATTGGTATGATACTCATTTTGAACATAGTAGAGATTTTAAAGGAGCCTTTTGAATTTATGATGTTCATTTCGTAATTTATGTATGCTCATTTGATAGTGGTGTAATACTCATTTCAAAATGTCATATTTATTCATATTTTAAAAGTATAATATTACATTCAATTCACATATTGGATTCATACGGTTCATTGTAGTTTTTTTCAAAAAATAAGAAAATCAAAGTGAATTATAAGATATGAAGCCGACATCAAGATGCTCATTATCACACTCTCAATACTCAGTAGAATAGATCTGATGCTCACTAAAACTAACATTAATGTTCATTTAACGGAAACCACGATTTTCATTTAATTTAAGAAAATGTCGCCGACTATAAGATATGCACTTCCATGGGCAGACTAACCGGCTAACCTGCTAAAACACCTCATTGACTGTTTTATTGATAGTTTGAGATTTTGATTTAGTGATTCCATAATACTGGGAGTTAATTGCTATTTTTGCCAGTACAAAGGTCTATGGCCCTAGAGGTTTGTCCATGAATAATACTAAAACAGGTGATGTGGACAAATATATGACCACTTTTAAAAAAATTCAAAACTGAGACTAAACTACTACTATTGACCATGACTAACCTGACCAGTGACTAATTCGGCCTGTGGCCAATCCGACCGTGACCAATTTGGCCGTGACCAATCCGATCGTGACCAATCCAACCGTGACCAATCCGACCGTGATCAATCCGACCGTGACCAATCCGATCGAGATCAATCCGACCGTGATCAATCCAACCGTGATCAATCCAACCATGACCAATTCGACTGTGACCAATCCGACCAGTGATTAATTCCACCAGTGATCAACCCAATTAATGACCACGACCAATTCAACCAACACGACACTACCGCCCGACGACCACCGCCCCCGACCACTGCATTGACCACCATCGCCGTCCGACGGGGACCGCCTCTGCCGCCTGGCGGTGACAGCAACCACCCACCAGCCCCCTAGCCTCCCCATCCCCCTCCAACACCCTCCCCCTGCCTCCAGCCCCCCGCTACCAACCTCCAGCAACCCACAGCTTCCTCCAGCACCCTCACCCAGACCGCTGCAGCCCTCCAACACCCTCCCTCACCCCCCCCACCTCTGTCCCCAACAGCCCCCATCCAGCACCCTACCCAAGCAACCAGGGTCCCCGATCCCCGTCAAGCACCCTTCCCAAGCCCCCAGCAGCCCCTTCCCCGTTAAGCACCCTTCCCAAGCCCCCATCCCCCTTTTCAGTCACCTCCCCAATTTCTCAGATCGTGGACAATAGATTTGTCCCCAGGCTACCAAAGTTGTCATCTACACTTAGATTTGGCCCATCTCATTGTCGAATGGATGAAGCTAGTAGATCAAAGATGAAGCTCATCGTGTGAACTCCGGCGTCGCTGGCGGTCGCTGGTGGACGCCGTCTCCGGTGTCCAAGTCTCCATTGAAGCCAATTACCTCATCGTTTGTTGCAGAAGCGGAAGTGGTGCGCAGGTCTCTTTTTAGTCTTTATTTCAAGGTCCGTTAAGTCTCTTTTTTTGTCCAAGTGAAAGTGAAAAGTCATGGTCTCATTTTAGTCTTTATTTCAAGGTCTATTTGATAGTTTTCCTAACACATTCTTTTTTTTTGGATGAAATGTAAATTTTATTAGCACCCAAGAAAAAATAACATAATACAATGTGTCGAAAATCTACCCATTGGAATCTATCTAAGTTAGTCAAGACTAACCTGAATAGATAAAATCACAAAATAAGTCCTTGCACGGGACAGGCCCCGACTGTGTTCCAAAACAGTCTAAACAACATTAAACAAACAAAAGCAACCTAGAAGCATACTATCTTCTATCTTGCGTTCCTTTCTTCTTCCAAATTTCTTGAAGCATACTTACATCAATTTGAAGTGGAGCCCCCTCATTTCCGTTATCTTCCTTTTCTTTATCTTCAAAATTCTCACTTGCTCCTTTAAGATTAAAGCCCGGAAAAAACAGTCTGCCCCCACCTAAATTAGACTTATCATTATTAGCTTTGCTAGCAGTAGGCTTGTGCGTGACAGACTTGGTATCAGGAGTTTTCACCGGCTTTGCATTCTTTTTGCCCTTCTTCCTACGTACTTCCTCAAATGGTCCTTCGGGGTCAATAGTCCCCTGCACAACAATGGCCTTCACAGTGGGCTCAATGGCCTTCACAGTGGGCTCCTCGGTAGCTTTGGCAGCCTCTAATTTATCCGATGCTAAATCAGCTTTCTTTGTGGCTTCCTTAGCTATTATGATAGCATCAAATTTTTCGGGTTCGCTGGTTTCAACATTTTCTTTTGCTGCCAGTTCCTTGCAAATGAATGGATGGTGTCCATATTTTTTTACAATGGAAGCAGTAGTTCGGAAATGTTTCGTAGATAACCCGCTGCTCAAAGATCCTCCTTGAGTCCATCTTGATTGGAAATGAGAGAGAAGGTGGCTTAGTGACGTCCACTTCAATTAAAACTCTAGCGAAGTTGTGGTTTGTCTTTTCAAGCGTTACTCTATCCGTTGTGAGTGGAACTCCAATCATAGACGCAACTTCGCTAATACAATCCTCCTGCCATAACCTCACAGGGAGCTTAGGAAACTTTATCCAAATCGGCACCTTCAAGAACTCATCATCTTCAAAGGAAAAATCATTGGACAGAACCTTCAAAACCAGTAGCTTCCCATAAAGGAAATACGGCCCCTCAATCATAACCTTAGTCCTATCAACTTCGCTCTTGAATTTAAAAATAACCCAACCCTTGTCATGTCGTTTGACCTGACAGTGTACTCCCCATTTTTTTGTAAGGTTGTAGATTGCCTTTAACCCAGGAAACCTTCATGTGAAAAGTCCCACCAGACAGTAGCCAAAGATATCCACCATTGAAGGTAGCACACGGTCTGAAAAATCAAGAATATCACTAGTTGGTGGAATATACCTCAGTTTAAGCCCTTGAGAAGGAGCTCGATTGTCTTTAAACAGTGCACTCCATTGCTTCTTTGGCATACTTGTCATGGAAGTTTGGGGCGTATCATTTGACCCTAACGTTTCAGAGTAGGAGTAAATGGACAGACTATCATCATTGTTGTACTCTGAATCAATATCGTTGTTGAGCTTGGGAAGCAAAGTCACAGCCAAATTCCCCCTCTGTTCGCCCTTTCCAGACTGTCTCGATTTGCAGGGACGATGAAGAATAGCCATGAAAATCAAAGTGCTCAGAATAATAAAATAAAAATACCTGGAGGTGCTCCTGAGTGAGGCGACCCCAGACTGTAATTATTTTTGAATTTTCGATGCCGGAGCTACCTGAAAACCCCCCTAAAAAACGTTGACTTTCGAACTGTGAATAGTGCGCAAAATCTGGAAACAGCAGAAATCAGCATAAACCAGCTCAAATCTACACCAATAGCTTCGTTTCTTGATGGCGACCTCCATTCCATGCTCCAAATCCAGCTTCAATCGTCAGTTTTTGAGAAATAATCAAAAGTTCATTCGCAGATAAACAGTGTTTTTCGGAAAAAACAGTTCGTTCCTTGCTAAAATCAGTCTTTAAAACCCAAATAAATCACATATCCAAGCACCACTAATCATTTAGGAGTGATTCCTACCTTAGATCGAGCAAGAACAAGTAAAAAATCAAAGAAAGAGCTCAAATCTATGGTCAAGAGCCTAAAGTCGTAAAAACACTAATGTAAGAATTTAGTGAGAGAGGCTCTCAAACGTGACCTTTTTTTCCCTAACACATTCTATATTTGAGATGACAACGTTGCCAACTAAAAAACCACCCATATTGTTCAACGAGTCAACTCAGTCTAAGCTCGGTTACGCATCCATGAAAACCGGTCTTCGTTTAAACGATTTCTTCTGGTTTGAACGAGACAATGATGGCCAATCGAGAAAAGTGGGAAGTATCCGTCGTTTATACTCACAGACAATCATTTGTTTGTAATTTTTACGAGAAATAGCGGAAAAGGAAAAGCAAACATGGCCAACCAATATAAAGGACAACAGTACCTTTTCTCTCATCAGGTATCTCTCCTTTTCTACACAACTTTTTTCTCTGATAATCATTACCGCCACACACTCAAATCACGCTTTATACATGTATCTACATACATTCGATATGGATACAGCAAATGCAATTTGACAATCTCACCCCTTCTTCAATTCTTCCTTTGTTATCATTGAATCTACATCTATGATTGTTGAGTAATTATTGCATTTGTGTAGTTCATGTGCTCATTGTAAATAAAGTTGAGTTTATGTATATGCAGAAAGAAGAGGAAGAGAAGGAGGAGTTTGATCTGGGATCTGACGAGCCTGAGATCCCATTTCCCTTTAACATTACTTCTCGGGTCGGTCATATCTCATATCACTTTCTATACCTATTTTTTTACTGCGAAACAGGGGGCTGTGCGAATTAAAATGTAGTTATTCCTGTTACTAGAGTCCTTTTGGTAAGGGTTGTTTGGCTGAAATGAACTAGCCTAATTCGCTGAATTTTTGTAATGGATAATTTGTTAAGGTCCATTTCAGCCAAATAAGCAAGTCAAAACGTACATCTACTTATTGTCACGAGAATCTGAACAGCCAAAACATTCTACCAAAGGAGCCTTAAGCATTGAGTTGGACTAGCTAACTGGTTGAACTCAATCTAGATTGGCCCAAGTGTTTGATGGCCTAGTTGAGTGACTCAAACTGAATCGTAAATTCTATCAACACCCCCACATAATTTGTCCTATACATTTTTAGAGCATTGATGAAAATGTAGCGGGGATTGTGAAAGTGTAGGTGCTTTATATGTTGGGGGATATAACGGCAGGGCCGGCGTATCGGTTTACAGAATGGCTGGAGCTGGTCCGCAAACGAAGTAGCAAGATTCGCTCCTCCGGGTTCCCTCATCGTCCTCACAGAGTTGAGACTATGCTCTCCAGGTTCTTGAGTTTTTCAGTCGTTGATTGACACAATGCTGCTTTATGCTGCAGTTGCTTTTCATTATTATATTGTTCTCAGGATCATTAAACAGTATGGTTTGTGTTTTTGTTATGGGGCTTAGATGTCAAATGAGTCTCGATATATATGACTAATATGCAAATTTCTTTGTGCCTTTTCTTTCTTCTAGTAATGAGCCTTATTGTATTGAACATTACAACAAGTTGCATATTGGAAACTAAACGGGAACTAAATGAGACACTTACTAAAAACTGTGATTATCATGTATGACTATGTCTGGGAAGAGGTTTTGGAGGGGAAGTGAGCGGGATGGACATTTTTATTAGCAAATGAATTAACCGAATAAAATATGGTAATTTACCATAAACCCTCGGTGATTAATGAATGAATAGTATATGAGTTTATACTTATATATCATTTTTTTTAAAGTAATCAAATACCCAAAGAAAGGATAATTAAATACATTAATTGAGCCCATATTTTTGTGTGAGGAATTGAGCCCATATTATTACCTCGTTGATATTTAGTTTCACTTTGACATTCTTCTTGACCATATACTGATACACATATTGATGCCCTTTTGTCTGCCACATGAGGGTATTAGGATCTAGTTGGTAAGGGTTATTTAACTATAGCGAAAGGAAATAGATTGAGCAATCTGCTGAAAGTTAACGTCTATTTACTTATTTAGTCAAATATAAAGTAGAAAGCTACTCATTCTGTTTATTTTATTTATAAGCAGAATAAGCCAGAATGAGTTACTAAACGGAGCGTTAATCATTATTGTTCTATTTTAGCCCAGAAGAATCAAGTTCAGATGTAAAAGACCCTCCACCTTCTGAGCAAGCGGCGGCAGAATTGAGTTTGTGGGATAGACTTGGCAATGCTGTGATGTTGGACATCGAATCAAGCGCCTTGTCCTGGAGAATGCTCGCTTCCCTTCACCACACAGAGCACAACAGTAGTACTGAACAGTCTGAGGATGAAATGAATAAAGCACTAGAGGTATTTACTTACTTTTATCCTTACAACAACAACATCCAAGCGTTATCCTTCAAATAGGAAAACCACATCGCTATCTACAACTAAGAATAACAGGGTGTATTTCTACCATCGCTTACATTTTGTTCAACTTTTACTTCTGGTAAGGTACCTCCATCCTAAAAAAGTGTCCTATAATGAGAGTGTTTTTGTACCAAAAGAGAGTCTTTTTTTCATTAAATATTGCGATGTTTTCATGTAATATATCAATATATTCCAATATATAACTTCTAAAAACATAAACACTACTCTTTCCTATGGATGGAGGGAGTTAAAGTCATTAGTGGGTGCTTAAACTTTTCTACAATGAATTTTCATTTATAAATTAATTGTATCATATTTAACATGTCTGCAACTCTTCTTGGCTAGTTGAAAAAAGGATCAGCTTTGTTCAATCAAACTAGACTTTCTTTTTGGACAATTCAGTGAACTCTTTCATTTGGAGATGGAGCCAGGGAGGGATGTTTTTTTTTTCAAAATAACATACGTGAAACCATATATATTCCCCTTCCTTCTTCAGACTGCTTCACCCGAACATACAACCAAGTAACTGACATTTATCTCTATTACCGATTCTTGTGTCATTATTCTCATTATTTGGGTCATTCAAATATAGCATTGACATTCGTTTTGATATCATTCTGATACTTATTCTTCCTCTTCCTTTGGATATCTTTTTGCATCTTTCTATCACTTCTATATTAGGACATGATAAATAATAGCTGACAGCTACATATATAATACTCCCTCCATCCCTTATAAATTTGCCAAGTTTGACTAGGACGTGGAATAATGAAGTAAAAATTTTGAGTTCTAGGTTTGTGTAGAGGAGAGAGAAATATTAAGAACCACAAATTAATTGCTTAAAATGGAAAGTGGCAAAGTTTTAGGAACAACCAAAAAAGGAAAGATGGCAAAGTTATAAGGGCGTATGTCCTAATAAGAGCAGTGCATAACATTGATCTCTCTGACGGTTGTTCCATCCCCTTTGTGGAAACAGGTCACTGTTAATTCTGGGGGTGTGGTTTTTTTTGCACTATTCAATCAGCCTCAAGATGATGAATCTCCTTCTCCAAAGGAAGCTGTAGCTGTTATAAAGATATCATCTTCAAGGATGGCCACTCAATCAGAGCGCCTCGGTTATGAATTTGCCAAGTGGCTAGGTGTTCGGACCCCACAAGTTGTACCTCCTCTCTTTTACAGATTAAGTTATCGCTGTTGGGGCATTTGGTTACCTACTCCTTAAAATGTTCCACTTAGTCCAATGACTGAAGTTATTTTCACCTTTGGTCCTTGACTTTCATTTTTTCATTTTGGATGCACGACTGGTGATTTACTGCCACTTTTGGCCCCTCTGATCATATATCTGGCCAATTTATGTACACTTTAAGTGATATAAAGACCAAAAGAGGCAAGAAGTCCATTGTCATTCCATAAAAACAGGAACGAATGAAAGTTGCGAAGCCAAAAATGAAAATTTCCTTACAGTTGTGTGATCAGTAGTGTAGTTTTATCTCTAATCACATTCTATTGTTGGATTAGGTGTGCAGTCATTTTTGAAATTGCGTGCAATGTTTAGTTTCACTCAAATGTGCGCCACCATGCAAAGTATTTCACCACCCTCTCCATGCATATTTTTAAATTGTGTAGTATAAAATGATTATTTTAAAAACTCAAAACAGGCATGATGTAAACTCTTCACAGTTTTACACATTGTATATGAGGTTTTTATTATCCATCATACCACTCCCTATAGTTAAAACTTAAAGCCACAGTTTGACAATTCCTTGTCCTGGAACTTCGCAGGCACGGGTTATTCACAACTGTATTCCGGAGTGGTTGCAGATAAAAGATGCCGCAGAGAAAGCTAAAGAAGCGGCTATATCAGAAGGAGATGAAATTGGTGAAATGACATGCTCAGAACTTCTAGAAGCTCTTGAATTAAGCCGTTGCATTTTACTAATGAAGTGAGCGTAACTTTGGTCATACTCTATATGTGTACTACTGTACTATTGTCTAGCCTCGTTCTAAAATGATAACAGACTTCTTATCATTTTAGAACTTAGAGAGTTAATACCTGATCAGTCTCTTACACTATTACTCAATTTGGATCCAATTATGCTCTCCACTGTGAACTTTGAACGAAATGTAGTTCTCATACATATTTGATTTTTAGTAATGATGTTGTTTTTGTACTTTCACACAATTTTGGTACTTAAATTGCATAAATGAAGACCTAGAATCTAAAAGAAAAATGTTGACCAATTTGAGTTATAGTGTATGATCATAAGACCAGGATTGGGTATGAACTCCTTTGGAGATACACAACCCTATGTAAAGAGGTTTGAAAGTTTTAACCACTGACTCAGTGACTTGGAAGATTTGTGGGTGTAGTGTCTGTGTGAGGATCCTTATCCGGACCAGCTGGTTTCACAACAGAGAAGAGAATGATGATTTACATAGTTACTATGCATCCACTGAAGATTCTTAGGTCTCACATGGAACAAAATTGTGATTAAGTGCTATCTCGTGTTAAGTTTTATGTGATCTTTAAATATATTAGGGAATCAAAAGGATGAAGAGAATCTTACTTTAATCCCTTAGATTGAGGAATATGCTACATAGTAATGGTTTTTTTCTAGATTAGGGGTGATTTCATGATTTAGTTTCCCACTTTCTTCTTTTAAAGAGATATATCAGTTTCAGGTTTTAGGCTAGTTACACTTACCTAATCCGTTATGATCATTCTTAATTGGCCATGTGCTTTGTGACCCAGTTGAGTGGCCCGACTTGTTAATTTGATCGTAGTCACTATAAAATGTAATACACTTCTCCAATTTATACAGGAAGAACTCAAATTTATTAGTTTAATTAACCACACTATCATCACACATTAGATGTTACTTTACTTCTAAATCAGGCCATGTAAGATGTACAATATCATTTATTTGCTTTAAGCTTAATGTTTCTTATGTACTCATTACTGTAAAATCTTAGATTAATTTCCTGACTACCAATTTTGCAGCTATATACACGGATCGCCTCTGTTAGAGAGCTCAAATGCATTTGATTCCCAACAATCTGCTGAAAAAATAGCAGCTGCTCTAGGAAGGGTCATGGTTTTGGACCTCGTCATAAGAAATGAAGACCGCCTTCCATGTCGCCATCTGAGATGGCGTGGAAACTCAGCAAACTTACTGTTATCAGATAAGGTGGGTGATGTGGAAGCTCCTGAGTCGGCCTTCAACTCTCTAATCAATAGATGCAGACCTAGCATGATAAAAGCGTTTCAAAAAGAAAGAAGAGCCACTTCAATAGATGGCAAAATTACCCCTCCCACTTCGGGTTTATTACCACAACGCTCTGATCTGTCCGACGTGGCAGAGTCTCCGAAATCAAGCAATTTGAGTGTTAAAAGTATAAACTTAGGTGCCACTATCTTCACTCTAATTACTTATTCTTATTATTTAAATCAGGTTAGTCCAACCAAACCAAAGATTTAGATAAGATCGGACCAGAAGTATTGAGATTGCACCACCAGCCCATATGCTACGATTCTGACAATAAAATTAGACAAGATCATTAATATTAAAGATTAGGACCAGATCAAAGATAAAAAAATCAGATTGGATCACTTTTTTTTCAGGCGAAGAGAATAGGTCTTTAGATGATTCAACGTCTCCGGAATTTCATATCGTGGCTATAGACTCGGGGGTTCCACGCAGGCCACCAGCTGGCAAACGTGCAAATGACCATGAATTTTATCCTAAGCTGGTTGAGCTCATTATTAACAGTTATGAGTATTCATCTAATATCCTTCATGAGATAACAGGAGGAAAATTAGGGTTTCCTCCCAACGACTCTGAGATGATGACTGCCGATTCTCATTTGGCTAATATGAGCCTTGTTATTCATGAATTTCGAAGTGGATTTCGTGCAGCTTTACGAGATTTACAAGGATTTCATATATTTCTTCTCACACTTCATCAGAAACTGGAAAACCTCTTGAGAGTGCTTCTCACCATTATTGACAGAGCTTCTTCATCCGGGGATCTTGAGAAGGAAGAAATGACGGTTCCTGAGTCACCACCGCCTAGTAGGGAAGCGGCAGTTGGTGAAAACAATGTTGATTCAAATGATTCAGAATTGCCAAGGGTAACACCTAAGCCATCGTCATCTTCAGGGTGTAAGGAGAGCTCGGATGGCGGTTCTCCGGTTGCGCGTGAGGGTTGCCAGGGGAAGTTTAGGGGTAATGGAGAACCTCTGCATAGTTTGCGTTTGGCATCGAAACTCCGTGACTTCCACAAATCTGCTAAGGTAAGTGCATACCTAAAATTAACTATTGTTTTGAAAAGACATCTTTATTTGCATGCCAAAGAGAAAACAAATAAAAACTTGTCTGGAACATAATTGCTTCATTGCATGATACCCTGGAGTTGATTTTGTCACTTAGGGTCCCTTGTTTCCATGAAACTATTTTCATGGTATATGTTCTCTCGATTTTCATATGTTCGGCACCAGAAAACGTTCCCTTGAATGTGTTTTTTACACGATTCTTTAAACTTTTGTCGGAACCTACTCACTGTTAAAGCATTTTGTTTTCATTTTTGTTCATTAAACATATGTTATTATACATTAAGGGTATGTTTGGAACGTGGGAAAACTGCTAAAGAAATGGTCTGTAAATCAAAATTTGATTAAAACCTTTTGTGAAATATATAAGGATAAATGTAGGATTATGATTTGGAATACTTTAGGAATATAGTTTAGGATATTATTATGGTATAGAATCTGATAGAAATATTCTAGGGGTTTTTACTTGAATATTATCAAATTAAAGTCAATTTCCAAAAAAGTGACCATTGTTAAAAAAAAGACAAAAATGTGACCAAGTAGGTCACATATTTGGAAAAACATGATGTCATTGCCGTTTTTTATGTCACTGCCGTTTTATGTCACTGTGACATGTCACTAATAGATTTTTTTTTGTCAGTTTTGAATGTCACTACCGATTTTAATGTCACTAGAGGTTGTCGTGAAACGTGTCACTATGCCGCCGGCAAATTTTCCGATCAAAAAATTATACAAGCTCCACAATTTTCACGCCAGAAACCATCGCCATACCGCTACCAACACCACAGGCGTCGCCCCGACCGCGTAGGCGGTAGGCCCCCTACCCCAGCCCCTATCCCCTTCCCCTGCTCCACCAGTCCCCTTCCCCTGCTCCACCAGTTCCCCTACCCCAGCCCCAGTCCCCTTCCCCTTCCCCTGCTCCCCCAGCCCCCTTCCCCTGCTCCACCAGTCCACCTACCGCAGCCCCAGTCCCTTTCCCCAGCCCCCCCAGTCCCCCCACAGCTTCCCAGACCCAACCTATCTGCCCCAGCGTCGTCCAACCTCTGCCACCACCTGTCTCCAGCGCCGCCCAGCCTCGGCCACCACCTGACCCCAGCGCCGCCTGGCCCCCTCCTCCACGTGACCCCAGCAATGCACAGCCCTCTGCGACTCGCAGCAGTCCAACCAACACCGCCCTGCCTCGCCCGTCTCTAGCCCTCTGTGACTCCATAATCACCAGATCTGAAATAGGGCGGCGGAATGAGATCAATGAAACTAGAGAACATTCACAACGAAGAAGAAGGTAGTGCGGAGCGAAGAAGAAGAAGGCGATCTACCCTAGCCCCAAATTGGGCGGCGGACCCTGGCAGCCACTGAAGGCGAGGCAGAGGCGGAGGCAACCGGCAAAGGCAGAGGCGGAGGCAACCGGCGAAGGCAGAGGCGGAGGCAACTGGCGGAGGCGACACTGAGGCAGTCGGTGGAGACGAGAAGCAGAGGAGGACTTCCCTTGTGGCCGGCGGAGGCGAAGCGCAGATGCGAGGTCGATCGCAATGGAGAACGGGAGAAGTGAGGTCATCGCGATGGAGAAGCGGAGATGTGAGGGCGATGGTTTCTGGAGAAAAGTGTTCGTTAGGTTTAGCATTTTAATGTGACTTTTTTGTCTAATTCTAAAATGGTCATATTTTTGTCCATGTAAAGTGGGGGAGTAATATTCATACCATTCTTTCAATATTCTATCTTGTAATGTATATTTGTAGGGACTTAAACCCTTCATTGAAGATACAGAAAATCCTTCCCTCTTCAATACATAGTACTTCCTCTGTTCGGTTTTAAGTGCAACATGCACTTGGGCACAGATATTAAGAAGCAACAAAATGTGTTAATTTAGTCTGTTTTACCCTTCACCATACCGATAGATGAAATGATGTGTTAAGTAATACCTACAGTATTCAATAGTGGACAAACGTTTTACAGCCAAGCAAACTAACAGCACCCACTTGCTCAATCATTCATTCCACTTGCGAGGGAATATAAAAAAATCCTCCATCTTCATCTACTATCAGACTAATTATATTCATACTAACAAAGTTTGTTTCCATTCCATTTACGGCCACAAGATAACAAAAAAAACCGTGCACTCTTGATAGCGAAAAAACAAAAAAGAGCACTGACAGACATCAAGAATGGAGGAGCAAATTTCTGTAGAAGAACTTCTTCAACTAGAGGGCGGAGATGTATCTGATGATGATGGTTTCTACCCAGATGTTGAAGTTTTCTCATCTTTTTTTTCTGCAGCTGAAAGTGAAGAGGAAGAAGAATCAGAAATAAATTCTGGTTGTCACAGTTTTACATCAACAAGTACAAATAAGCCAAACCTCAAAGTAACCGGAGAAAAATCGATTTCATCTTCGTCCATGTCTTCCATTCCGCACTAATTAAATTAAAGATGAGGGGAAAAAGAAAAATCGATTTCATCTTCGTCCATGTCTTCCATCCCGCACTAATTAAATTAAAGATGAGGGGAAAAAAACTAGAGAGATGTTGGGAAGAAAAAGAGAAATGGGGTGAGGAGAATCACAGAAGGAAGATAGCATACAGAAGTTGGGTTGTAAAGTGATAGGAATAGGTGGGTGGTGGTGGGTTGAGAAATTAAAGCAAAATTGAGGAAATTGTCAGAAGACGGAAGAGCTAGGCGATAAATAACGAAGGGTATAAAAGTCATTTGCTTTGTATTTCCTTCCCAAAATGGAAAGGTTGCATTTATTTTGAAACTGCCGAAAAAGGAAAGTGTTGCACTTATTTAAGAACGGAGGAAGTATTACTCTAGTTTATACACTGTTAGGGTCCGTGACATTCCCAATAATAAGAGTCATTTTAAGTAATTTAATTATTCTCAATAATAGGGTTTTAGGCCCTATAACTTAATAAGAGTGGGCTGGCCCATTAGAAATAGAATAAATAAGGGGAGGGGTGAGTAGATAGGCAGGCAGAAATTTGGGATTGGGTATTGGGAGAGTGAGGCCTCAATTGTATTTCCCCGTTTCTTTCTTATCAATCGACGCTATCTTCCGTTTCGATGCAATTGACGATCGCTATTCCTGCGCATGGTCGTGACTCCAAGAATGGAGCAACGTGTAGAAAGCATCGAACGAACCCTAGCGGAAGTGAAAACCACCGTGGAGGAACTGTTGGGTCTGCGCGCAGCGGTGGACGAACTGAAGAATATGATGTTACACAGTAATCGCCACGGGAGGCGAGGGCGATAGCGGGTGTCTAAGCATCATTACACAGTGTGAACTCGTCGCTTACCACAGGTAAGTCCAACGGTTCTCATGCTTCATCCCACATTCCGGAAACTGGTGTTGTAGACCGATGTTATGCTCGCACGGGCAGGAAGGTTGACATCCCTGTTTTTAATGGGGAGGATGCTCATGGCTGGATAATTAAGGCATAGAGATTTTTCAGGTTGAATCAAGTTAATGAGACTGAGAAAATAGAGATGGTGGTAATGGCAATGGAAGAGAAAGCTTTAAACTGGTATCAATGGTGGGAGGAACGGACCAATGAACGTTCCTGGGAAAATTTTAAGGAAGCTGTGATTCGACGGTTCCAACCTGGAATGGTGCAAGATCCCTTCGGTCCTATTCTTAGCGTGAAGCAGATAGGAACGGTCATGGAATATTGGGAGAAATTCGAGCTGGTCGTAGCCCCCCTCATGGAATATTTCATGAGTGAGCAAAGCATATTGAGGCTACTTGTCATTTTACTCGAGAGAAGATACAAAAGAGATTGATCTCTATAGGATATGTGAATTCTAGAGGACAAATTGGAGATTCATTCACTTAAGCACTAAATGAGATTCGAGTTGATTATTTATGTAACAAGTTGGGCATGATAAAAATCTATGCTTCAACTGGTAGGAGAGTGTGAAATATATTAAAATAAATGTAGAAATATGCTTTGAAATATTTTAGGAACATACTCTAAATATTATTATGACATAGAATCTTATAAGAACATACTCCAGTGAGGTTTTGGTCTAGTCTCCATTACCTTTTTGTGCATTTTTTTATATTTAATAAACATAGTAAATGTTCCCCGGCATTTACCCCACCACTTGGGTAGTTTGCGCACCGTGTTCACAAAAAAAAAACTCTATTTTGTAATGTATATTCATAGGGACTTAAACCCTTTGATAAACATACATAAAATTCTTCCCTCTTCAATATTATTCTAGTTTATACTTTGTGTTTCAACACTTTTCAATATTTTACATAAAATTAGATTTCTTGGTCTTTTTATAATCGAACTATATAGATAGAATGAGTATTAACACATTGAAGTTGGGTTTTTGAGTTTAAACCTATTTTTATGTTACCACCCAAGTTTTCTTATCCATCCAATTTTGTTCGTAATTTCTTTTACTAGCATTTTCCAGGTTCCAACAGACTTGAAGTAACTACTTATTTTCCCGGGGGATATCAGGGGAATTATATTCACAAATACTTATTTTTGTGTAATCAAATTGATCCTTGTTATATAATTTTACCCAAATCCTAAGCTGTTGAACCTTTACTCAGGTTGATGCAGAGCTAAACAAAGAGTTAGAACAATGGAATGAAATGCTGAAGAACGATGCTATTAAGTTATGCATGGAAAACAATTTCAATACAGGCTTCTTTGAAGGCAGTGATAATAATTACGTGGTTGATGCATATGAGCTGAAGGTATGTGTTAGATGCCATTTGTTAGAGGTTTATTCTGCTAGTACACAGTTTGCTGAAATTCTTGTTGATGTAAATTGTTTTGGTTACACAGGTAAGGCTTGAGCATATTCTTGACAGAATTGTGTTGATATCTAATGCTGCAAACACCGAAAAACCATCAGCAGTTTCGGAGACCCTTTTCATTGGTGGGGCCCTTGCTGCTAGATCTGTGTACACTTTGCAACACATAGGAATCACTCATGTATTGTGCCTTTGCACCAATGAAATTGGACAATCGGACTCTCAGTATCCCGACTTGTTTGTGTACAAAAACTTTTCTGTATGTTCCTTATTTTTTTTCTTTTCTTTTGCTTTATGGTATGTTCGGGTCCCAGAAAATACTAGTGCAAGAAGAAATATATGGCTATGTGAAGTTTATTTCTTGCGTTTGGTTTTACCACGAAACATGCAAAGCAAATGAAATATGATCAGTGCCTTTTTAATAACTATACATATTACCTCCTCCCCAAAATAATAATTACAGAACTTTGGGGCACATAAATTAAGAAAGTGAGGTAAAAACTTCAACTACCCTCTCCTTTTACTAGAAAATTGAAAAGGTAAGTAAAGTCGGAATGACGAAGTTGTAGATTTAAGTAGAAGGAAGTCTAAAGTAGGAATTTTATGTAGGATCATTTTCCAAAAAAGGAGACAACCTTAATTTTGGGACAACCCAAAAAGGAAATACATAATTTTTTATTTTGGGACGAGAGGAGCATAAAGTAGATGTGCGTAAACAAATATAAAAAAAATTAATTATATAGAATTTAGACAAATGCTTTATTTTTCCTTGCATTTTCTTCCCTCGCAATTTTCTGCTACGTTGTCCTTGGTGTTTTTTTCCCTAGCATCTTCGGTGCTCCAAACAGACTCTTTGGAAGTAGCATTTTGGATTGATAGAAGCCGGTTATTTTGGATTTTGTTTTAAATAAACTGAGTGATGATCTGTGCCTTGTGCAAACAGATATTTGACAACGAGGACAGCAACATCAGCGATCTCTTTGACGAAGCACACGATTTCATGGATCACGTTGAAAAAATTGGTGGTAAGGTTCTTGTTCACTGCTTTGAAGGAAAAAGCAGGAGTGCGGCTGTTGTCCTTGCGTATTTAATGCTGAGAAAGTAAGTCCCCAAGTGTTAAGACAAATTGATCCTTTTTTAACAGTTAATACCTCTCTATAAAAGTCATCATCATGGCATCATCACCAGCTTAGTCTCTATTGAGCTGTGGTCAGTGGCCTGAAATTTGTAGTGGCATAAAATTGTCTAAAAATAGTTAAAACATTGTTGATTCCGCTAATACATTATTTATTTAGATATTATTTGTTTGAGGCAAGAAAGCGCTGACTAAGATGTGCTCTTTCAGAAGCTTCACACTTTCCCAAGCATGGAATGCACTGAAGAGAGTGCACAGACGTGCCCAACCAAACGACGGCTTTGCGAGGCTTCTATTGGAACTGGACGAGAAGTTGCACGGAAAGGTTTCCATGGAATGGCAACAAAGGCGGCCGACAATGAAGGTGTGCTCCATTTGTGGGAAGAATGCCGGGCTGAGCAGCAGTTCGCTGAAACTCCACTTGCAAAAAGCACACCGGAAGCTTTCTTCTGGAAGTGTGGATAGTGCCATGACCATGGAGATTCAGAAAGCCATGGATGCACTGAAACTCAGTCGTAGTGGGAGTGTCAGTCCTACACACAGAAATCCTAACCCAAACATGGTTGAGTAACCGTGTACATTTGACCGTTAATGTTTGGCTTCTGTCACTTGTGTATTTATTATTATTACGTGTGCGCGCACATATATATATATATATATATACAGAGAGAGAGAGAGTCCTTTTCTTGTCCAGCCGGCCTGACGGGAACTGCCGTCCGGCCGAGGGCATTTCGGGCACTTCCCGATGGTATTTTTTATGAAATTTTTTGAGCATGTTTTTCATGAAGTCTAGTTTATCCATACCAAATTTCAGCTAAAAATTCAATCGGGAAGGCATTCAAATAATTTTTTGAAGTTGACTGCGTCAAAGTATATATATATATATATATATATATATAGAGAATAATTCAGGTCCGGCCAGGCCGGACCACTGCCCCCGTCCGGCCTCCTCCATTTGGGGGCCTTCCCGATGGTATTTTTTGCTCAAATTTTATGTGTAGGTTCCTCATCAAGTCTAGTTTGTCCATACCAAATTTCAGCCAAAAATTCAATCGGGAAGGTCGTCAAATGATTTTTGCAAGTTAATTGGTCCGGAATATGTATTTTCCGGACCAGTTAACTTGAAAAAATCATTTGACGACCTTCCCGATTGAATTTTTGGCTGAAATTTGGTATGGACAAACTAGACTTGATGAGGAACCTACACAAAAAATTTGAGCAAAAAATACCACCTGGAAGGCCCCCAAATGGAGGAGGCCGGACGGGACTCCGGTCAGGTATACCTGACCGGAAGACTACTCTATATATATATATATATATATATATATATATATATATATAGAGAGAGAGAGAGAGAGAGAGAGAGAGTACTCTTCCGGTCAGGTATACCTGACCGGAGCCCCGTCCGGCCTCCTCCATTTGGGGGCCTTCCCGGTGGTATTTTTTGCTCAAATTTTTTGTGTAGGTTCCTCATCAAGTCTAGTTCATCCATACCAAATTTCAGCCAAAAATTCAATCGGGAAGGTCGTCAAATGATTTTTGCAAGTTAACTGGTCCGGAATATGTATTTTCCGGACCAGTTAACTTGCAAAACTCATTTGACGACCTTCCCGATTGAATTTTTTGCTAAAATCTGGTATGGATGAACTAGACTTGATGAGGAACATACACAAAAAATTTGAGCAAAAAATACCACCGGGAAGGCCCCCAAAAGGATGAGGCCGGACGGCGGCTCCAGTCAGGTATACCTGACCGGAAGATTACTCATATACATATATATATATATAGGGGTGAGATCCCATGCCAACCAAGCTTCCGGTGCTAACCTACAAACTCATCACATCCGTCCATATCTGTACAATCAAAAGCGGATAAAAGCCATCCACAATAATGGGGCGTGTGTTGAGATGTAGAGAATCTCAACCGTTTGGGCTAGTTTATTGGAGTGATCGGTGGGAAAGGTTATCAGGGTCATTTAACTTTTTAAAAACGGAGCTTCCAAGTAGAAAAGGAAAGAACGGAAATAACTCATCACTAATATTCTACCACTAATTAATGTAATCCACCACCAATATCCAAACACTTTAGGTAACCCACTACTAATATTTCGACCTCCATCTATTTTTCATTATACTTCTTTTTAGGAAGTTAAATCTTTATATAAAGATTAACATGAGATTTTTTATCCAACAAAGAAGATTGTAATATCACTACAAACACACATGATAGCATTTACAAAACTAATATCTTGATTTACGGATTCAGACGCTCCATAATTAACCTTCCAATTTTCAAAACTTATACGTGATAAGTTGGACAGTTCTTGATTGAAGAAATGAGCACTAGTAGAAGTTTTTTGCATATAAAAGTTACCAGACATTCATATTAAGGTTACGGGTTGTGCATATTAAGGTGATAGGATGTGCATTTTATATTTATAATGTCTTCACAATTTATATTAGATCTACATAGTGATAAACTATATCGACATTGCAATTTAGTGTTTCATAGGTTGCATCTTATCTTTATAACTTGTGCATTTAGGAGTTCATATATTACATTTTAGTATGATAATATGTACACTTTGGTAATTCATATTGCATCTTACCGTTGTGGCATCTGCATTTAATAGTTTCATATGTTGCATATTATCATTATAACATGTGCATTTTAGGAGTTCATATATTATATTTTAGTATGATGAAATGTGCGCTTTAATACTTCATACCAATATACTACATCTCATCGCTATGACATCTGCATTTTAGTAATTCATATGTTGCATTTTATGAATATGCATGTGCATTTTAGAAGTTAATAAAATGCATATTAGTAAGATGGAATGTGCATTTTAGAAGTTCATACACTGCATTTCAGTAAGATAACATATGCATTTTAAAAGTTCATATTCTGCATCTTATCATTATGACTTCCCAATATGCACTTTGGAAGTTCATACTGCATCTTATCGTTATGGCGGCTGCATTATATATTTATATACTCTACTCACATGCATATGAGTGCTCAACATACATGAAACTACATATTAAGGTTGCGAGATGTGCATTTTATTATTAAAACGTACACATATGATAATATTTTTGAAATAAATTCCCTTTTTTACGAAATTAATCACTTCATAATTACAACGTCTGCATATTAGTTGTGCATATGTTGCACTTTCAGCCACATGATATGAGCATTATTTATATAATGGTTGTTATATTGAGCTAATTAATCTATTACGTTGCACTTTGAAAGCCAATACGTTGCATTTTGTCATTATGATGTGTGCATTACAAATTTTGAAATTCATATCATCTGTGCATTTTATCATTATCATCTGTGCATTTTATCATTATCATCTGTGCACTTTCAGAAGTTCATATATATTGCAATTCAGTAAGATGACAGGTGCATCTTAGGGGACCATATACTGTATATTATCATCATGACATGCATTCTAAACTCACGTGACATGCATATGAAAATCATGAGGTTTAGAAGACAAGATGCATAATATATTTTAAAAAAATGTTCTAAATGACAAAAATACTACTTCGTACTATATTTTACATACTAAAGCTATAGGAATTTCGCATAAATATGAAATTGTGTGAATTTATATGAAACGATTTCGCATAAAAACTTTTGGATACTAAAATTACAAGAATTTTGCAAAAACATGTAATTGATGAATTGATATGAAAAAAATATAAAAAATAAAAATAAAAATCGGACTTGCACATCGGATTCCATGGCGATGCTGGAATCCATGGCGTTTGAATAGAACACTCATCAGTTTCTATTAAATTTGAGAAGGAGATTGAGATAAAGATGGAGATTGAGGTAAAGATGGAGATGGAGATAGAGATGGGGAAGGGGATGGGGAAGGAGATGGAGATGAAGAAAGATTTGATACCCTGGAGACAAGCCTATGTCCAACACAGCTAACAAGAAGACAAGCACAGAGATGAGAAACATGATCGACCAGAAAGCTAGAATGAAAGAATAAATGGAAAAGGCGGTTATGGGAATGGCAAGAAGCGAACGTGATTTTCTTTCCCTAATAAAAGTTGAGTAATTGACCAAAATATCCCTAACTTTTAATTACTTGGCTTTCAGCAATTAAAATGACACAAACGGTGATCTCTATTTAATGAATGGTCAAGATTAGTTTGTAGGTTAGCATATTAAGATGTGTTTGCACTTGATCTCTTATCTATATATATATATATATATATATATATATATATATATATATATATATATATATATATATATATATATATATATATATATATACACAACTATTCAGGTCCAGCCAGGCCGGACCACTCCCCCCGTCCGGCCTCCTCCATTTGGGGGCCTTCCCGGTGGTATTTTTTGCTCAAATTTTTTGTGTAGGTTCCTCATCAAGTCTAGTTCATCCATACCAAATTTCAGAAAAAAAAAGTCAATCAGGAAGGTCGTCAAACGATTTTTGCAAGTTAACTGGTCCGGAATATGTATTTTCCGGACCAGTTAACTTGCAAAAATCATTTGACGACCTTCCCGATTGAATTTTTTGCTGAAATTTGGTATGGATGAACTAGACTTGATGAGGAACATACACAAAAAATTTGAGCAAAAAATACCACCGGGAAGGCCCCCAAAAGGAGGAGGCCGGACGGCGGTTCCTGTCAGGTATACCTGACAGGAACATTTGCGATATATATATATATATATATAGGGTGCGGTTCCAGTGAGAACGATGCTTAACGTGAGAACGTGAGAACACTCACAATTAACCCAGCGTGATACACAATTGAGCCCGTCAGGTGCACATTTGGGTTTAGCTCAAAATAAGCCTATATAAATAATGACGGTGGCATTTTAGTAAATACTGTGCCGAACGCGAAAATGTGCATTGGGCGAGCCTCATTGTGCATCACATTTGGGTAAATGTGGTGTTCTCACGTTCTCACGTTAAGGGTTGTTCTCATTTGATCCTAAATCTATATATATATATATATATATATATATATATATATATATATATATAGAGGAATGTTCATGTCAGGCCGGCCTGACGGGCTGCCCCGTCCGGCCGAGCCCGTTTGGGCACCTTCCCGGTGGAATTTTTTGATGAAATTTTTTGAGCATGTTCCTCATCAAGTCTAGTTTGTCCATACCAAATTTCAGCTCAAAATTCCATCGGGAAGGTCGTCAAATGATTTTTGCAAGTTAACTGGTCCTGAATATGTATTTTCCGGACCAGTTAACTTGCAAAAATCATTTGACGACCTTCCCGATCGAATTTTGAGCTGAAATTTGGTATGAACAAACTAGACTTGATGAAGAACATGCTCAAAAAATTTCATCAAAAAATTCCACCGGGAAGGTGCCCAAACGGGCTCGGCCGGACGGGGCAGCCCGTCAGGCCGGCCTGACATGAAGAGCACTCTATATATATATATATATATATATAGGGGTGAGATCTCATACTAACTAGTTCTTCCATGCTAACTCGTGAAAACTCCGACAACCGGTGGTATTTTTGGCTCAAAGTTTTTGTGTATGTTCCTCATCAAGTCTAGTTCATCTATACCAAATTTGAGCAAAAAATTCAATCGGGAAGGTCATCAAATGATTTTTGAAAGAAAACTGGTCCGGAAAATACATATAAAATGCAGTTTTCTTTCAAAAATCATTTGATGACCTTCCCGATTGAATTTTTTGCTCAAATTTGGTATATATGAACTAGACTTGATGTGGAACATACACAAAAACTTTGAGCCAAAAATACCACCGGTTGTCGGAGTTTTCACGAGTTTGCATTTTAAGCATGGTTTGCATTTGATCTCTTACCTATATATATATATATATATATATATATATATATAT